CGCCCACTGGCGCTCCCCAGCACTCCCCAGCGCTCCCGAAGACACGATCCGTGGCAAAAAGTATCGAGCCCGCTATCTGTAAGTCGGGACTGTCCCCCTACAGGGGGATTTTGGACGAAAAATAAAAAATAGTCTAAAAGTACCCTCAAATACTTAAACATGGGCAAAAAATCCTCCCCTGACTATTTTGTTTACTATTTTTGAATATTCCTCCTGTAGAGGGACAGGCCCGACTTGAGGCTATCTGGAGGCCACGACCCTCACACACTGCGGGACCGCGCTCCCGAGGTCCATGGCCTCTCCGCCCCGCAACCCACCCAACGAGCCAGCCCGCCAGCCCACCAGACGTTGCACTCGGCGGCCGCCACGAGTGCAGACGGCGCGCGGGCCGCCGCGGGATGCGCGCCGGGGCGAACGGAAGCACGAGGAAGCGGGGGAGGGAACGCCCGGACGCGGAGGGCCCGGGGGACAACCTGGAAAAGGAGGCAACGTTCGGACCCTGTGGGCATCCGCGTGCGCGCAGAGGTGCGGCAGCAGGAGGTGAGGTCCGAGAGCAGAGCACGAGAGCCACCACATGTCGCCATGGGGAGAGGCCCATGCAGGTAGAGAACAAGACCAGGCTGCGACATCGACTCTCACAGCTGAGCCCGGTGAACAAGCGCCCAAGGAGCGACCGTCCAGGGAGACAGCTCATGAGATGAGCAAGCGCCAGCGCTCCACTAGAGCCAAGGCCCCGCGGGAGAAGCCTTGTGGAGCCGTTAACAGAACGAACATGCGACCCGGGGCGCCAAGGACCAGGCGGGGGTCCACGAGGACCTTGCCGAAGAGCACCGCCTTGTGCATCCGTGCCAGGCATGGCCGCGCAGCACGACGCAGCAGCCCCAAGGCTAAGGCCAGCCAAGGCTGGCAGGGGCGCCAGGGCGGCGCTGGCAAGGGGGGAGGGAGGGAGGGAGGAGGAAAGGCAGGGCCTGTCTGGAAGGGCAGCGCGAGGGCGCAGCGGGGCGGGACCGACCAGGGGGGCAAAAAGCCCCACGCAGCACGGAGAGAAACGACCAGGTGACCTGGGAGCAGACAGCCCAAAGCGGCTCGGAGAAGAGTAGGTACGCACGAAGCAACACGAAGCATGTCGGGGCGGCGCAAGCAAGGCGACTCAGGCACCAAGTCCAGGCTTGGAGCGGACGCGACCAGGACTGCCGGGCCCCAGCTGGGACCTCGCGCCGCCTCCGGTGCAAGTGCCGCGGCAGCACCACGCCCTCTCGTTCGGCCCACGCCGCCACGTCGTGTCCTGCGGCCGCGAGCCCGCGGAGGAAGACCGAGCATTGGACAGCTGGCCGTCTTCCAGGGCGCAGGTGACGCGCCGCCTGCCCTCGTCTTGCGCCGCGCAGAAAGCGTGCCACCCGCTGACGAAAGCGGGCCTGGCCTCGCACTGGAGCCGCGTGACGCACTCGCAAGGCGTCTCGCCGTCGAAGGGCCCCACTGGATCAGCTGGCGAGGCAGGGCCCCCTCGCGACGCCCCAGTTCTTCCCTGGGCGCGCCAGGGCCCTCGCCGTCGCGGACCGCCACGCCCGCCCGCGCGGCCGCGGCCATCAGCTCCAGGGCCGAGGCGGGGCCGTTGTCCGACGCCAGGGGCTGGGGATGCGCGGTAATCGGCTGCCGAGTGCGGCCCCCAGGGCTGTCGGGGGCACCGTCGGCCGCGACCCCGAACGGGGCGTCGGGCAGGACGTCGGGCGAAGTGTCGGCGGTCGCGCCCAGCTCGCCCGCGGCATCGTCGCCATCGTCCCCGCAATCGAGGTTTTGAGCAGGGTCGGCGGGGGCGGGGGCCGGGCCGCCGGCCGCCGTCGAGGCCAGGCTTCGGCGGAGAGCCGGCCGCTGGCAGTGGGCCCCGGGGCTGCCGCGGGCATCGATGGGAGGGGCGCCAGGCCGAGCCGCGGGAGGGGCGTCCAGGGGCGGGGAAGAGGCCCCGGTCGCCGTCAACGCCCTGCTCGCTCTCCCACGCCAGGGCCGCTTCCACGGGGGAGCGATGGGGCCTCCACGCCTGCGCTTCGGGGCTGCGGGCAGGACCGCCGGGAGCACCCTCGGCCGGGCGCGGCGCACAGGGCGGCGCGCACATGGCGGCGCGGGCGTGGCTGGGGCCAGGGGAGCCGGGCGCGCCGCCGGAGCACGGGGCGGCGCGGGCGTGGCTGGGCCAGGGGGCGGGCCGCGCGCACCGCCTTCAGTCTCCCCAGCTGGGGCTCCCTCGGCGGGAGCAGCCGTCGTCGCCCTGCAGGGGCGCACGTCGCTCTCCAGCCACCAGCCGGCGGATGCCGGCGGCGCCTGCGTCCCAGGAAGCGGCTGCGGCCACGGTGTCTGCCCCCGCGCCGTGCTCGCCACCAGCCCCTGCCGTCTGCAGGGAGCACCCGACATGCAGAAGGCCACCTGGTCCCCCACGCGTCGCCCCCTGGATGGGCTCAAGACAGACAACGCAGTGAAGGCTGCCCGCGCTGCCGCTCAGATGCCCTCGCCGGCGGCCGGAAGGCCGGAGGCGCCCGTGGCCCCGAGGCCAGAAACGCGCCGCCTCGCACGGCTTGCGTTCTGCCCAACCCACGCGTTCGCTGCCGTCGAGAATCCGGCAGCCTCAGGGTCCAGGGACGAACCAGGGCGACAAGGAACGGAACGTGACACAGGGACGGCAGCGGCGCCTCCTAGATCGGTCGCAGCTGCTGCGGAGTGCTCGCTCCAGGGAAAGATCGCTGCTGGTTGCCTCGCCTTCACCTCGGAAGCACCGCCCGTCACCCCGAGCCCTCGTTTCGCTCAGGGACCTGCTGCTGTTCCCCCGAGTCGGCTGCGGACGCAAAGCCGATGCCTCCCGTGTCCTCTACCAGGGCCACTTGGACGTCGACGCCCTCGTCTCGTCGAGGGTCCTGTTGCTGATCCCACGAGTCGGCCCCGGGAGCAGCGCCAAAGCCTCCCACTTCGTGCAGATGGTTCGCCTGGACGTCAGGGCACTCGTCTCGCCCCAGGTCCTGCTGTTGCTCCCCGGAATCGCAAACTGACAAAATGCCAAAGCCACCCGTATGCGAACAAAAGGTCGCTTGGAAGCCCACTCGGCTACCAGGGCGGGAGCGGTAGTCACGAACGCGTCATCAACTCCAGGGCGGCAAAGCATCTCTGTCATCACGAGATCCAAAGCAGCTCTGTCATCAACTCCAGGGCGACGCAGGAGCGGTATCACGAGATCCAAAGCATCTCTGTCATCTGGCTGGGCGTTGGGCCGGGGCACGGGCCGAACGAACGTCGACGTCGGGTCGGGCGTCGGCACGGGCGTCGGCACGGGCGTCGGAAGCATCGTCCAGCACGGGCGAGAAGCCGCCAGAGAGAGGCGCGAGACGTTCGTACGTCGCCAAGCGCGGTCCACTGCCCGCCAAGGGCCTCCTCGCAAACGTCCGAAGAAACGCCTGTCGGCTCGAATGCAGTTGATCGTAGGTTCCCGACAGGGGATCCAGGCCATCTGCGAGTACTCCAGATTTCGTAATAAAGGGAGGGGGGACGGGAGAGATCATACAAGAGATCATGCGGGAGAGCATGTAGCAAAACATGCAGGAAGGTGCATACGGAGGACAACACGGGAGACCATCAGCGAGACAAGATGGGAAACCGCATGGAAAACCATGCGGGAGACCGTACGCGAGATCATACGGGAAACCATACGGGAGACTCCACGGGGGGAAAAACGACCATACGGGAGAGACCATACAGGAGAGACCATACCGGGGGGGGGGCTGGAGGAAACATACGGGAAAGACCATACGGGAGACGACACGAGAGACCGTGGGCAACACGGGAGACCCCGCGCGGGAGACCCCACACGGGAGACCCCCCACGGGAGGCCGCACGGGAGACCCCATGGGGGACCTATACGGAAAGCCGCACGGGAGACCACACGGGTGATCCTACGGGAGAGACCAGACCGGGAAGCCGCACGGGAAAGACCCCACGGGAGGCCCTGGAAGTCACCCCTGCGGGAGACTGCCAAGAGGAAGAGCACGAGAGGAGGGCCGCGGGGGAGGCCGCACGGGAGGCCGCACGGAGGGCCAGCCGGAGGGCCACGGGGAAGGCCGCACGGGAGACCACGAGGGAGACCACGAGGGAGACCACGAGAGACCACGAGGGAGACCACGAGGGAGACCACGAGGGAGACCACGAGGGAGTTGTGGATGTCTTTCGCGTGTGTAACACATGTTTAACACATGGTTCGGACATCTGGAGATTATGTGGCAGCATGCTTCCTCGCCATGGATCGTCCTCCACAAGTCTCAAGTCGGGCGTGTCCCCCTGCAGAGGGGGATTTGGAGCGAAAAACGAAACATACCCCCCGAATGGGCAAAAATGGTTCAAAGAAATCGTCCCCAGGCTATTTTTTGCCTACTTCTGGATGCTCCTCCTGTAGAGGGACAGGCCCGACTTGACGCAAGTGTGGAGCCAACGGCACCCGGCCTCGGACGAAAGGCCACACCGGGAGACCGTGCGAGAGGCCGCGCGGGGGAGGCCGTGCGGCGGACCGCACGGGGGCCACGGGAGACCGCGGGGGATACCGCGTGGGAGGCCAGCGGCTCGCAGCGGCCCTGCCGCACCCTTTGAGACCATACTTGTGGATGCCATGACTTAGCGGCGCGCACAAGGAGGGGGGAGGGCTTCTCAGAAGGAGGCTGCTTCTCAGAAGGCGCCGGCCTTACATCTATAGATAAGGCCCGCGCCTTCTAAGAAGCGGGGGTGCTTCTAAGAAGCCCTCCCCCCTCCCCTCACCCCCCTCTGCGCGTGGCCGAATGACAGTGGACATTCTAACAGTCCTATCATTGAACTAGAGATGCCTTCAAAATGTGTAAACCATGCTCTAAAAACGCTTCAGACCTGATTTTTGCTACACCTCCAAAACATGCTCGAAACACTGTTTAGGCATCTGGAAATTATTTGGCTGATTAGGGGGAACTTGGAGAACTGAGAAGGACGATGACAGACATGATGATCCTCGCACTCATGATACTCGCTTACACCCGCCAGTCTTATAACTGCAAGCCTCCCATCGGAGTCGCTCACGGATCCGAGCAGCTTTTGTCTCAAACCGCAATGGCCAGAGCCGAGCCTCGCTGACATTCAAGGCTCCGACACCCTGCGATTACATGGAGCTCGGAATGAATGAAAAATGAAAGACATGGAGTAGAAACTCGTCATGCAAAGCTTGCCTCTGCCACTGAGAACACGGACCCATTCTGCTCACTCAGAGCCCCTACTTGGAGAAGGGAGGTGTGGTGAACACACCCTGGTGAAGGCTTCGCTGCGACCTGGTGATCATCTTCGCCGAGCAACCCTCCGACTGGAAACCCGGCATGTCCAAGGTGCTTGACGTAAAAGTTCAAGTACTGGATGCCCTCATTCGTGCGCCCGTAGGCTACCTTGATCCACCAGCGTGCCTGCGGCACGCTGGGGCGTGTTAAAATGCTTGTCTGCCATGTGGTAGTGCTTCTGTAGTTCTGCAGGGCCACCCGTACCCACCCCATGTTTCTCGGCGCCCTTATCGGCCTCTAGACGACCTCACGAAAGGCAAAGCCTGCCCGAAGATGGTTATAAACGCTTCAAGACCACCCAAGTGCGCCCCAACGAACTCCTGAAGGCTCCAAGATGTCTCCCAAAGGCCCCCAAGAAGCCTCAAAGAGACGCCCAAAGAGGCATCCAGCGAGGCCACAAGAGGCGGACACAAATAATCGAACAACCAACGACAACTCAATGAGTTATGCTTCGGAGTCCAGATCTCTCGAGAATGCTTCAGTGCCCCAGAAACCCCCAAGACAGCCCAAGACGGCTCTAAGACGGCAACCAGGTGGACCCAAGACTCACCGAGAACACGCAAAAACTGCCGATGAGAGCTCCAAGACGGTCCCGAGGCACGCCCAGAGCGTCCGCAAGGTGGTTCCACCGAGACGCGTCGGGAGAGCCTGGTGGAACCACAGCGCCAAAGACGGCCCCGAGACCCCTGGCCTGCCCCCCCAACGGGCCCCGACAGGCCCCCAAGAGGGCCGAAAGCAAGCCCCGAGAAGCACCCAGCACCCATCAAGAAGGAGGAAAGAGGGGGGAGGCCATGGAGGAGGAGGAGGAGGAGGAGGAAGAGAGGAGGAGAAGGAGGAGGAGGGAGGTTTGGAAGCGAAGCGTATGAATATACATGTATATACACACACACACACGTGGATGCCAACATGGGGGCGGCGTTCGAGACCCGCGCCAGTCCGGAGAGGGCACTGGCCTGCAGCGGAACTTCAACTCGAGCCGTGCGCTGCCGCGCTGGCACGGTGGGGCGGGGTCTGCCGCAGGCAGCTGGATCTGCACCTTCCCGAATTTGATCCAGTCCGGCTTCTCGTGGAGCTGCCCCCGAGCCTGGAAGCGGAGGCCGCCGGCATACTTCGCCTCCGCCCAGGCCCCTGTGACGTTCAGCTCCTGGAAGTACAGATCTGCGCACTGGCCACCCAGTCGACGCGCATCCGCCTGCACACGGAGCAGCGCGCCCTCGGCAAGCTCCCCCTTTGGAATCTGAATCAAGACAAACTTACCAGGCCTCATCAGGTCAAACCGCTCACCGTGGACGTTCTGCAAATGAGGATCGCCGGTGGCAGAGATGGATCCCGACGGCACTCCAGCGGCTCCGCCCATGGCGGGCGCCGAGCCCGCTCCGCCGAGAAAGGGCGCCGCGCCGGCGGCTCCGCCCATGGAGGGCGCCGAGCCGGCTCCGCCACTAGAGCTGGGCGTAGGACTGGCCGTGTGGCTGAGCGTAGGGCTGGGCGTAGAGTGGGGCGTCGGGCTGGGCGTAGGGTGGGGCGTAGGGTGAAGTGTAGGGTGGAGTGTAGGGCTTGGCGTCGGGCTGGGCGTGGGGCTGGGCGTCGGGCTGGGCGTAGGGTGAAGCGTCGGGCTGGGCGTAGGGTGCGGCGTCGGGCTGGGCGTAGGGCTGGGCGTGGGACTGGCCGTGGGGCTGGGCGTCGGGTGAAGCGTAGGGCTGGACGTAGGGCTGGCCGTCGGGCTGGGCGTAGGGTGGGGCGTAGGCTGAAGTGTAGGGCTTGGCGTCGGGCTGGGCGTAGGGCTTGGCGTCGGGCTGGGCGTAGGGTGAAGCGTCGGGCTGGACGTCGGGCTGGCCGTCGGGCTGGGCGTAGGGCTGGGCGTAGGACTGGGCGTAGGGTGAAGCGTCGGGCTGGACGTAGGGCTCGGCGTAGGACTGGACGTCGGGCTCGGCGTAGGGCTCGGCGTAGGGCTGGCCGTCGGGTTGGCCGTGGGGCCGGGCGTCGGGCTGGCCGTCGGGCTGGGCGTAGGGCTGGGCGTCGGGTGAGCCGTCGGGCTGGCCGTTGGGCTGGGCGTAGGGCTGGGCGTCGGGCTGGGCGTCGGGTATGCCGTCGGATAGGGCGTTGGGTAGGCCGTCGGGCTGGCCGTCGGGCTGGGCGTAGGGCTGGCCGTAGGACTAGGCGTAGGTTGGGGCGTGGGGCTGGGCGTAGGGCTGGGCGAAGGGCTGGGCGTGGGGTTAGGCGTCGGGTGAGCCGTCGGGCTGGGCGTCGGGCTTGGCGTCGGGCTGGGCGTAGGGCTGGCCGTCGGGTAGGCCGTTGGGTAGGGCGTTGGGTAGGCCGTCGGACTGGGCGTTGGGCTGGGCGTCGGGCTGGGCGTAGGGCTAGGCGTGGGGTGGGGCGTGGGGCTAGACGTAGGGCTGGACGTAGGACTGGGCGTGGGGCTGGGCGTCGGGTGAAGCGTAGGGCTTGGCGTAGGACTGGCCGTTGGGCTAGGCGTAGGACTGGGCGTAGGGCTGGGCGTAGGGCTGGCCGTTGGGCTTGGCGTCGGGTAAGGCGTCGGGTTGGCCGTCGGGCTTGGCGTAGGGTAGGGCGTCGGGTAGGGCGTCGGGTTGGCCGTCGGGCTTGGCGTAGGGTAGGGCGTCGGGTAGGGCGTCGGGTAGGGCGTCGGGCTGGGCGTTGGGCTAGGCGTAGGGCTTGGCGTAGGATAGGGCGACGGGTAGGGCGTCGGGTAGGCCGTGGGGCTGGGCGTCGGAGAAGGCGTAGCAGGAGTTGAGGTGGGACACACTATCACCATTTCATTCCATGAGCCATCCTCCACCCGCACGAAGGTGTTCGAATAGTCGCAGTGGTTCCAACGTGGATCCAACTGGCTAGCTGCGCATTTCTGGTAGAACGCGGCTCGATTGTTGTTCAGAACAGGCAAAGCAGCTGACCATTCCGACTCGGTGGCGTAGCGCAACGTAGGACAGAACGACGAGTACGTGGAAAAGGCATTGAGCGAGGAGCACCCGCCAGAGCACGGTGAAGCCCACAGGTAACAGAGGCCGTTGACGTAGTAACAATAATCTTCTACACCTGTTGCCCGCGACGCTCGGTGATCGATGCCTGGGGAGCCGCGATTCCAGCACAGGTTCCAATGGGATGGCTGCGAGTGTCCAGTGATGATGATGTCCGATTTGGGCGTGTCGAACCTGGTTGCCCTGTTGTACTTGTGAGAATCGTTGAACGCAATTTCGCAATGGTAGCCCGAGTCAGTGCTGCCCAGCTGGACTGGCACCGAAGGGTTGACCATCACCTTGCAGCTGCCCTGGCCAGAGCCGACGATGCACTCTTCATTTACGCTGCACTCCATGTCACCCTGCGTGCTGACTCCCACCAACCAGTCATTATCAGCCGAAGCCACATGGCCGACAATGCCGACGCCAAGCTTCACCGCCTGGGCACCGACGAGTATGAAGCATGCTGCCACGAGACAGGCGATATTGTGCATCCTGATGGGTGCTGGCTTGCTCTTGAGCAAGGATCGTGTTTGTGCTTGATCCGCATGTACCAAGAAGGCACCGAATGCCTTGAACCACAGTGGCAGCGGTCTCACTAAGAACCACCGTGTGAAGAAGGAAGGCGAGGTGAACACACGCCAGCGAGGGTTTTGCTGCATCGTTGTGGTCATCCCTCCACTAGCATGCCCATGATGCTAGACGGCAAGCCCAGCATGCCCAAGGCGCTAGACTAGATGTAGAAGCTCAAACACTGGATGCCCTTAGGCAAACGCCCGAGGGCTACCTTGCTTCACCACCGTGCCTGCGGCACGATGTGGTGTGTTGAAATGCTTGTCTGCTCTCTGATAGGGCTTATGTAGTTATTCCGCTCGTCTGACGCCGTTCCCCAACCCATGGCAGTAATGGCCAATGACAATAGCCTTGGTAATAACAATGGTTGCCATGTTCATCATCGTGCTCAACTACGAAGACCAGCTCTTCCCATCAACTGATATGTGCAGGTTCCTATTAAACCCGCAAGGGCAAAAAGGAACCATGGACGCGCGCGACTCTCCCAACTGCGCTCATCATGCAGAGTGGAAAGACCAGGTAGCGGACTCTTGAAATAGCAGTGCGCGCCTCGCCGGCCAGCGAAAGGGTGGTGCCGTGCGTAGACGAGACCACCGCCCAGGGAAGCGAGGAAGCGTTCCAAGTGAGAAAGCACAAATTCCCCGACTGTGGAAACAAGGGTGTCACGGAAACTGCGGTGACAAACCCAGGGCGCTGCAGCAAGGCAAAGCGCAGCACCGCTGCCATTCTGAAAGGCGGCGAGTGAGTAGGGAGGATGTGAGAAGGGGCAGGCATTCTAAGAGGGCTGCGGAACTTCAAAAGCCTTCCCGCCTTCTGGAAAGTTTCCTGTGTTTTCGAGGAGGGCTCCAAAAAAATCTCAGACGGCCCCAGGCCTTCCGAGCCTTCTGAGAAAAACCGCCCCTTCTCGTTTCCCCCCTGGGCTCGCCGCCAAATTCAAGACAGGATAATCAAAAACATAGAAATGCACACAAAAAACACACAAAAAAACATCGAAAAACAACATGAAAACATACCACCATTGATACATACACAAAACACACAGCATCACCACCACCACCACCAACAACAACAACAACAACAACAACAACAACAATCACTTTACCCGAACGCTCAGTGTTCTCACCAGTGCCAGGGTTTTCATGCGACGCCAGCCAATACCCCCACTTTGTGGGGGGGCAGTGCAAGCTCTACCAAATATCCACACGACTCTTCGCCACCACCCACACCCAGCTTCCCGCCCTATGACGTTCGGACACTTCACTTCGTGGCCTGCGGACGACCGTGGCTACTACACTGGCGTGGAGTACACACCCACAGAAGTTGTTAAGCCTACGTTCGTACACCCACAGAAGTTGTTAAGCCTTGTTAACCCACAGAAGTTGTTAAGCCTTCCACAGAACATCTGTTGCATATGATGCATATGGTACATGATACACATGATACACATGATACGTACTCACAAGATAGTTGATCACATCTTTAGGGCAAATTCCTGAGGGATGTGGGAATACACAAGAGAGAGAGGATATGGTTGTCCCGATGGTTGTCTCGATGGTTGTCCCGATGGTTGTCCTGATGGTTGTGGTTGTCCCGATCGTTGTCCCGATGATTGTCCCGATGGTTGTCTTGATGGTTGTGCTTGTCCCGATCGTTGTCCCGATGACTGTCCCGATGATTGTCCCGATGGTTGTCCCGATGGTTGTTCCGATGGTTGTCCCGATGGTTGTCCCGATGGTTGTCCGATGGTTGTCCCGATGGCACAACCCGATACTTGCCCCACCAAGTCTTGCACGCCTGGTGACTGACCTGGATACCCTTTGCAACGAGCGCCTGATGCAAATAATACGGGCTCTCGCAGTCGGCCAAGGGAGGCCGCGACAGCTCCGGGCCATACTGCTCGTCAAGGGCTTTCGCCGTCAAAGCCATGGACCATCCAAGAACACAGGCGATACCTTGATCCGAGATGGCTACGGATGTGCCAGTGATCAGTCGGAGGCTTCCTGGGGCCGCTTGGGGTCCTCTTGGGGAAGGGGGGAAGCCTCCTGGCGCCGCTTGGGGTCCTCTTGAGGGGCTTTGGGGGGCTTCTTGGAAGCATCTTGGGGCCTCTTGGGGGCTTATTGGGTCCTCACGGCGGGCTCTTGGGGCCTCTTGAAGGCCTCCTGGGGCAACCTATGGCGCAACCAGTAGGGGGACGTTTTATTCTCGGCGGCCGAGGGCGCAACCTATGGCGCAACCAATAGGGGGACGTTTTATTCTCGGCGGCCGAGGGCGCAACCTATGGCGCAACCGCAAGGGATTGTGGCCCCTGGCAGGCGCGCGAACCCCGTTGCAAGAGCGTGCGAAAGTAGCTCGCGCGAGCTCATGTAACATAAATGTTGGAAAACCATTGGTTTTTTTAGGATTCGGACAGCGCGCGCGGGTAGAAATTTTGAAAAGTCGTGCAGGTGTTTTTCGAGGACCTACGGTGCGATTCGTGTGATTTTATGATGCGCGGTGCTAAAATTCTTAAGAAGCCCAATGGTTTTTGGAGATTTCGGCGTGCGCGCGCGAAGAAAAAACGAATGTGTCCCGCATGGTATTATTTGACAGGGATGATGGCCCTGGCAGGTGCGCAACCGTTGTCGCAGAAGTTCGAAAAAGTTGCTCGCAAAAGCCCGTTTGACAGAAATGTTTAAAAAGTGTTGGGTTTCCTACGAATCCGCAAGAGCGCGCGGGATGAGATTTTGACAATTTTTTGTTGAAAAACCATTGGTTTTTTGATGTTTTTATGTTAAAATCGCTGCGAACACTAAGGTTTTGGAAGGATTTCGTCTTGCGCGCGCGAATGTCCACTTTACCTTATTTTTTGCAAGGGATTCTTGAAATTTGATTATATTAGAACAAGAAATGTCATTTTCTATTGTTTTTTGCAAGGGAAAGCGGATTACAACAAAACAACCGGATCCTGTACACACCCTCTTTTCTGAGGCTTCCTCACGAAAATGATGAAAATGTAGCTGCGGCCTAGGCGGCGCAGGGGGGGCGCGCACCAGGGGGCCCAACAATAATTATTCTTTAGAATAAATAATGTTCAACAACAACAACAACAACAACAACAACAACAACAACAACAATCATTTTACCCGAACGCTCAGTGTTCTCCCCAGTGCCAGGGTTTTCTTGCGACACCAGCCAATACCCCCACTTCGTGGGGGGGCCGTTCAAGCTCTACCAAATATCCAAACGACTCTTCGAGACCACCCACACCCAGCTTCCCGCCCTATGACGTTGGGACACTTCACTTCGTGGCGTGCGGACGACCCTGGCTACTACACTGGCGTGGGGTACACACCCACAGAGGTTGATCACATCTGTTACATATGATGTGGTACACGGTACACGTGAGATGGTACGCAGTGCCAAGATAGTTGGTCACATTTTTGGGGCAAATTCGTGGGGATGCGATTACAGAAGTACATGTGTTACACTGATGTTATACAGTCCCAAGGATGACGCATGCATTGCTCATAGACTCATGGCGCTATGATCCTAACTCTCAGTGCCCAACGCGCGCGTGCACAGCCAGACGGAGGGAGAGAAACACATGTATACAAGGTTCGTGACATACGCACGGTCCACCATGTTGTAAACGATCGCATGCACGGTAAGTTCTGAAATTATACGTATGTACAAGCAGACATGCGAGGGAGAAAGGGAGATGGCCATCGACAGTTCCAATACGGCTCCAAGGCGGGCCTCATGGACGCCTCTTGGGGCCATCTTGCGCGCCTGTTGGGGCCATCTTGGGCTTTAAAGATTCATCAAGAGACCGCGAATGGATTTCGAGATTTTTCGGATGAGAAAGTAGTGCGTTTTCATATGTTTTCTGAACATCGCATCTTGAAATTATTGAAAACCCATTGTGTTTGGCAGGATTTCGACATGCGCGCGCGGCGGCCGCGCGCATGTGCACTTCGTCTCATTTTTTGCAAGGGATGGTGGCCCTCGCAGGCGCGCAACCGTTGTTGGAGAAGTTCAAAGCACCTGAAGAAGTAGCACGCAAAGACCCTTTTGACAGAAATGTTTAAAAAGTGGTGTGTTTCCTATGAATCCGCAAGAGCGCGCGGAAGGACATTTTGACAATTTTTTCTTAAAAAACCATTGGGTTTTTGATGTTTTTATGTTAAAATCGCTACGAAACCTAAGGTTTTGGAAGGATTTCGTCTTGCGAGCGCGAATGTCCACTTTACCTTATTTTTTGCAAGGGATTCTTGAAATTTGATCAACTAAGAACAAGAATTTTCATTTTCTATTGTTTTTTGCAAGGGAAAACGAGCGTCAACAAAAAACCGGATCCGGGGGTAATCCACTTTTCTGAAGCTTTCGCAGAAAAATGATGAAAATGTAGCTGCGGCCTAGGTTTTGGGCGGGGGGCGTGCACCAGGGGGTCCAACAATAATAATTCTTTAGAAGTAATAGTGTTCAACAATCACTTTACCCGAACGCTCAGTGTTCTCACCAGTGCCAGGGTTTTCATGCGACGCCAGCCAATACCCCCACTTTGTGGGGGGGCAGTGCAAGCTCTACCAAATATCCACACGACTCTTCGCCACCACCCACACCCAGCTTCCCGCCCTATGACGTTCGGACACTTCACTTCGTGGCCTGCGGACGACCGTGGCTACTACACTGGCGTGGAGTACACACCCACAGAAGTTGTTAAGCCTACGTTCGTACACCCACAGAAGTTGTTAAGCCTTGTTAACCCACAGAAGTTGTGAAGCCTTCCACAGAACATCTGTTGCATATGATGCATATGGTACATGATACACATGATACACATGATACGTACTCACAAGAAGCCCAATGGTTTTTGGAGATTTCGGCGTGCGCGCGCGAAGAAAAAACGAATGTGTCCCGCATGGTATTATTTGACAGGGATGATGGCCCTGGCAGGTGCGCAACCGTTGTCGCAGAAGTTCGAAAAAGTTGCTCGCAAAAGCCCGTTTGACAGAAATGTTTAAAAAGTGTTGGGTTTCCTACGAATCCGCAAGAGCGCGCGGGATGAGATTTTGACAATTTTTTGTTGAAAAACCATTGGTTTTTTGATGTTTTTATGTTAAAATCGCTGCGAACACTAAGGTTTTGGAAGGATTTCGTCTTGCGCGCGCGAATGTCCACTTTACCTTATTTTTTGCAAGGGATTCTTGAAATTTGATTATATTAGAACAAGAAATGTCATTTTCTATTGTTTTTTGCAAGGGAAAGCGGATTACAACAAAACAACCGGATCCTGTACACACCCTCTTTTCTGAGGCTTCCTCACGAAAATGATGAAAATGTAGCTGCGGCCTAGGCGGCGCAGGGGGGGCGCGCACCAGGGGGCCCAACAATAATTATTCTTTAGAATAAATAATGTTCAACAACAAACACCAACAAGCACCAACAACAACAACAACAACAATAATTTCAAGACTGCTCGCCCTTATATGATCGAGTGTCCAATAACGCGTATTATCCAAACCCTCGATACCCGCCCTTTTCGTCTTCGATCGAACCCATTTTGCCTTTTGGGGGGTATACTTTTCTTCCCTGCAGGCTGGGCCTGGGCAAGCGGTGGGGCGGCCGCGGACCGTCGGCCTGGCCAGCGGCAGCGCTGATCGGCGGGGCGGCCGCGGACCGTCGACCCGACCCCAAGAGGGACGGACAGGGGACCGACTACGACGACGACGACGGCGACGACGACGACGACGACGACGACGTCGAAGACGACGGCGACGACGACGACGACGACGGCGACGACGAGCGAAAGCGAGAGCGAGAGAGAACGACAGCAGGGCCACGAAGGGCACGAAGTAGCCCACGAAGGGCGGCAGCGGGGACACGAAGGGAATGCGTATGGGGCCACGAAGAGCGCGAACGAGCAGGGGCCACGAAGTGCAGATAATGCAGGGCCACACAAGGCAACTATGGGGCCACTGAGGGTAGCAACTGGGCCACGTAGGACAATGAGGGGGCCACAAATTGCGACAGCGGGGCCATGAAGGGCATGCACATGGGGCCACAACGGGCGCGACTCCTGGGTGTCTGGGTGTCGGGAACGCGGCGCTAGGGCAAATTGCAGGAAATTCCAACGCAAGGCCATTCTTCAGTAAGTTGCAAGCAGTCTCCAGCGAGAGCGCGACTCCAGAGCGCCAGGAGAGCGATTCCTGAATAAATTGTCAGGAAGTCCCAAGCGAGAGCGCGATTCCTGAATACAATGCGAGGAAGTCTCTGGCGGGAGCGGGGGTCCTGGCTAAATTGTGTGGAAGTCTCAGGCGGGAGCCGTTGTTGTTGTAACCCTGGGGCCAGGGGGCCAGTTTGAGCAGGAAGACTTTCCTTGTCAAAAAACAGGGTGCGAGCGTCGAGGGGCACACTTTGATTGAGAAAAATCAATATGCACCGGTGGGGGGATCAACAATAATTATTCAGAAATAAGAGTTCAACAACAACAACAACAACAACAACAACAACAACAACAACAACAACAACAACAACAACAACAACAACAACAATCGTGTAAGGCTGTTCGCTCTTATCTGCTCGTGTGCCAGTCAACACCTATATCCCAAACTCTCGATACCCGCCCTTTTCGTTTCGATCGCACTCCCCTGGGGGTATATACATACTAGAACCATCGCGCGCGCTTCGCGCGCGCTCAAGGTCTACCTAGGGTCATGATCATCGTCATCATTATCATCCTCATCCCCGTCATCTTCATCACCATCGTCATCGTCATGGTCACCTTCACCATCACCATCACAACAATCATCATCAACACCATTATCATCAGCATCGTGATCACCATCGCCATCATCGTCATCGTACTTTCAGCATCATCGTCCGCACCATCGACATCTTGTTGGTCGTCGTCGGCGTCGTCGTCGGCATAGTAATCGTCATCATCATCAGCGTCATCGCCGTCATCATCCCTGGTCCACTGCAGTCCCATTACCCTCCTCCTCTTCCCCTTCTCCCTCTTCCCATCACCTTATACTCATCCTTTTCCTCGTCGGCGTCTCCCTGAAAGTGATCCCTGTTCCTTCACCTCATCCTCCTCCTCCTCTTCTTCCTCCTCCTTCTCCTCCACCCTGTCTTCCCCGCTCTTCGGTGTGTCCCTCCTTGTGTTCCTTCACCTACTTCACCTACTTCCCCCTCTCGAGCCCTCTTCATCCTGCGCTCCCATTCCCTCCTCGTCCTCAGCATCCCTCCCCGAGCCAGAGAGTCAGAGAACAAGATAATATTAAAAGAACAATGCCCTCCTTTTCCCCCTCTTCGTCCTCCTGGTCTTCCTCCCCCTCCTCCTGCTCCTCCTCCTCCTCCTCCTTCTTCTCCTCCTCCTCCTCCTCCTCGTCCTCCTCCTCCTCCTCCTCCCTCCTCCTCTCCTCCTCTCCCACCTCCTCCTCGTCCTCCTCCTCCTCCTCCTCCTCCTCCTCCTCCTCCTCCTCCTCCCCCTCCTCCTGCTCCTCCTCCTCCTTGTCCTCCTCGTCCTCCTCTCTTCTCTCAACGCACCCAGTACACGGGTGCCTACTGGAACGCGTGCCGGGAGCCTTTTTGGAAGCATTGTGGCAGTCTCTGGAGCCTCTCCGGGCTTTCCTTTGGAGTCCTTTGGGGCCTTTCTTGGCCCGTCTGAGGGCCCACTTCGGCCGTTCTGGGTCTCTCTTGGCTTGTCGTGGGGAGCTCAGCCCGTCTTGGGGCCCTCCTGGGACACTCTCCGACCATGCAGGAATCCTCTGGTGGCCCCCTCGGGCTTCCTGGGGGTTCTCTTGGGCCGTGTTGTGTGTGTTGTTGCAAACAATGAAGTTTTCGGGCCGTGGTCCTCTCTCCTCCCCCCCCTCCCCCGTTTTTTAAATGGTCGGCGGGCGGGGAGGGCGGGGGCGGCGCAAAGTCAGGTGGCGCCGTTCTGACATAACACGTTATGCTTGTGTTCTCCGCTCAAGTTCTTTGGCTCGAGCATGCCCGCAAGGGTTCCTGCGGCCTCGCCCGAGTTCTTCCTCCATTGCTCCCCGCGCGGTAACAGCGCGGGCAATTCCGACAGTTCGGGCGGCTCTTCGTGGGAGCTGGTCGAGCTGGAGTCCTCCGACGATTGGCAGGTGCCGGACCTGCCGCCGAGTGCGCTGCAGAGCGCCGACGAGACGGCTCGCTTCGGGTGCTGGCCGTTCGGGCCACAGGTGCGGTCGCTCGTCTCGCTGGTGAGTGATCCGATCGTGGAGCAGGATTCAGCTGACGAGCCCGAGGGTCTCGAGATACAGATGCCAGTGGAGCCATGGTCTCGCCGCTTCTACCGCCTGAGTGCGACCGACGGTGTGGAGGTGCAGTTGGTGCGCCGCAAGAGCGGCAATGTGTGGGCCGTCATCGGCCCGGACCTGACTCTCGGCCTGATCTGCATCACGGCGAAGACGTCTATCTTCACGGACCCTGTGGCGGGGATCCGCTGGCGGCCGATGCCCCCTCTTTCCGCAGCCCAGAGGGACGCCTACGTCAGCCAGGCGACGGAGGGGTTGAGGGCGTCGACGGCGCCGATGTTGCCGCTGTACCGCCCCGGCAGGGGTGGTCAGCAGGCGATGGCGGTGAACGTCCTGTATGCCGTTTTCAGCTCGGGGGCTTCGGCACTCAAGACGCTGAGGTGGTCTTTGAGGAGTCCCAAGCGTTTCCTGGGTGTGCTGGCCGCGTTGTTCGTATTGTACAACCTGCTGGTGTTGCTGGGCGTGATCGAGTATATGAAGGAGGTCTGGGTGTACACGATCAGCTACCTGGCCACGGCCAAGGATGCGTTCGTGGAGACCTCGGAGGTCGTCCAGGAGTGGGCCACCTACCTGTGGGAGTGGAAGGAGTGGGCCCAGAAGCTCATGCCTCTTCAGCGGTGGTTTGCGATGTTCTTGGCTCTGATCCTTCTGACCCTCTGGGCGGCCCACGAGTGGTCGGACAGTGGGGAGCACGGAGAGTCCTCGATTGGGTCCTCAAGCGCTTCGAGAATGGATGTGCCCGTCGGTTCGACTGCTTCGGTGCCTCCGCCCTTGCCGCCGCCCGGCTATCTTTCAAGTGGAGAGAGTGCTGCGTTGGCGAGCCAGCTGAACGATCTCGTGGAGCCCCAGAAGGCCATGATGGAAGAGATCAGCGAGATCAGGACCGCCGAGAGGACGAGGGAGTTGCGTCGAGACGTACTCGAAGCTTCCCTGGATTCGCGCGGTCGCTCGGACGCCGAGGCCAACAAGCAGGTGATCGAGGGCATGATTGCGCGTCTGGATCGGTTCGAGGCTCGTCTGAAGGGAGAGGCCCCTGCGGAGGCCAGAGCTGGCGAGCATGGTGCTGCGATCGAGGGGACGAGTTCTTCGGCCTCTGCAGTCGCCGTGCTCGGGTCGCCCGCGAAGAGTACCCCCACAGCGCTGATGGAGACGCCCGAGAAGTGCCACGTCTCAGCCGGAGGCCGTCGAGCTGGCCATCAAGCGGATGCGCTTCAAGGCTCAGTTGCCGCAGCAGGTGTTCATGGAGCAGCTGGACGAGTACAAGGAGATCGAGCCCGAGGAGTGGAACAGCCGCATGCCCGAGGGTTACCGCCAGCGGATCTCGGCCGAGGTGCTGTCGGAGATCTACTCGTCAGGAAAGACGGCCGAAGCCTGGGCGCGGGGCTTCATCAGGGACCGCGGCCTGAGCGACTGCAACACGGCGCGGGAGATGATCGCGGCCTTCGCCGCGGTGGACACGATGCTGATGACCGATCGTCAGAGGGGACTCCTCAACCTGGTGAGCTTCGAGCGGTTGGTGCGAAAGGGCTACGCCATTGTGAGGGCCTACCGCAACGTGAACAGCCGCGACGACTGGAGCCGCCCCAAGGATGCCAAGAACTGGAAGTCGAAGGTGGACTGGGAGGCGGCGCGTCGCTTGGACCCTCAGCTCGCCGACGAGAGCACCATTCGGGCAATGAGCGCCCAGGAAGAGATGAAGAAGGCCATGGGTCGCGACGCGCAGCTGATGAAGGCGCGCCCCGACCTGGACGGGGGCGCGGTGGCCCCGCCGTGAGTCAAGGAGCTTCAATTGGGGCTGCTCGGTTTCAAGCCGGGGGGCCCTTGCAGCTGGCGCCGTGGCGCCCCTGCGCGTCGGCTTGTTTTGGCTAGTGTATTCTTTCTGCTGCAGCTGACTCGCATCATCGCCGTCGGCTGGCCCGCGGGCTTTTGCACGACGAGTTTGGGCTTTCATGTCTCGGCGGCGGGACATCCTGTCCGAGGTGGTGCTGTTCGCCCGCCCGGAGCGCCCCGCTTCGACTTCTCGTCGGGTGCTGTCGCGCTGGAAGGAGGAGATGGAGCTGGTGGAGACGGCGAACCGTTCTCTCCTGGCGTTGCGTCAGCTCTACCGTGGGAGTCTGGACGACAGTCTACTGGGCCTGGCCGACTGCTGGGGCCAGGGGATCGCGCCCGACAACTTGGACGGGGACCTCACTCGGCGGGTGCTGGGAGAAGTTCGTCGCCAGTCGCCGCCGTCGACTACACCCTCACAAGGAGCCGCGCTTCTGCGGCTGCGCCCTGCCGCCACGGCGGCGGGCAATCAGTTCCAGTCCACCTTCAAACAGAGGGTGGCCGAACTTCGGAGGAGGAGTGCTGGCGGAAGTGGACGGCTGCCGGACAGGGGCGAGACGTTTCCAGCTCAATGGGACCGAGTCGCCCTACCTCCTCCGGGGACCAGACCTGCGAGTGCGAGGTCTGCGTCGCCTCGCGCGGCACAGAAATTGGAGATGTTCAAGGAGGAGATGTTGAGAGAGGATGGCGAGGCTTGTGTTCAGGCCTGCGAGATACGCAACTACGTGGACCCGCATTTCCGCAAGAAGAAGGAAATGTTGCAGCTGGCCCGAAGGATGGTTTTGGCGGGGATGTTGCGCCGCACTGCAGTGAAGGTGGACGAGGTCGGGCTCTTTTGCGCCGCGAAGAAGGCGGAGCTTGTGGGGAGCGAGCCCGAGGTGACGCTAAGTCTGGTGTTCGACCAGAGGCGCTCCAACATGCGATGGCGGTCTCCCCCGCGGCGTGCCATGGGCGGCGCCAGTGCGATGTCGTTCTTGGACGTGTCCGAGGAGATGAAGGAGGATGGCGTGACCATGCGCTTCGGCACGGGCGACCTTCCCGACTTCTACTACACGCTGGAGCTGGGGGAGGAGCTGGCGCCGTACTTCGCGCTGCCGGGCGTGTCTGGGGATGCGCTGGACGCGCTGCTTCCCGAAGGCTCGTCTCTGCCTGGGAGCGGGCCCTACGTCGGGGTGCAGGTTGCGCTGATGGGCTTCTCCTGGGCGTGCTGGATGGCTCAGACGACCATGGAGGACATCTTCAATACTGGGCCCCAGTTCGGGCTTCCCTCGCATTCAGACGGCCAACGTCTGGCCGAAGGCGGGCCGTTACCCCATCTCAGTCGGGATCTACCTGCTGCGCACTACGAGTACATCGACGACTTCGGCATCATGGGCCTGGACTTCCCGACACGGCCTGGCCAGGAGGCGGCGACGACGGTGGAGGAGATCTGGCTCGGTGCCAAGGAGTTGGTGGTGTCCGCGGGCTTCAAGGGGCACAAGGATGCTTGCGCGGCGGACGCTCGTATGATCGGTGGCGATCTTCGGGGAACTCGGCTGGCGCCGAACCAGGACAAGATGTGGCTGGCGGTCTTCGGCATACGGGAGATCGGAGATCCTGATCCACAAGTGGGAACTACCCGACACCGTCGCGCGGATCGTTGGCATCCTGTCCTGGGGCTTCCTGATCTGCCGTTGTGCTTTGAGCGTCTTCGCGGACGTGCACTCCTGGCGCATGGAGTTCCGGGGTGGAGCTCGGCGCGAGGCCCCACGGGAAGTGCTGAGGGAGTTGGCTGCGGCCGCGGCCTTGGCGCTGCTGATCTCGGTGGACCTCTCGACGCCCTGGGGCCCGATGGTGATGATGTTCGACGCGAGCCTCTACGGTGGTGCGCTCATCTCTGCGGCGGCCACGGTGGAGGAGCAGCGTCGAGAGGCGCGATATGCAATTCGAGGAGGCTGGACCGTTTGGACGGGCATTTCCTCGTCCTGGGCGGCGGGCGCCCGGTGCGAGGGGGAGGCCTTCAGACGCGTGGGCACCGACGTGGAGTTGGGCACCCGGATCCGAGTTCCGCCTGTGCACGAGCGCTGGGACGACATCGCTCGGTGGAAGGAGGTTGCGCGCTGGCGCTGGGAGGAGAAGGAGCACATCAACCTGCTGGAGATGCGCACGGGGTTGGCCGCAGCGAGGCACTCGGCCCGCACCCGTGCGAGCTGGGGGAAAGAAGCACTTACGCATCACGGACTCGTTGGTCTGCCTCGGCGGCCTCAGCAAGGGCAGATCGGCCAGTCGGCCCATTCTGATTTTGCGCAGGAGAATGGCTGCCCTCGACCTCGGGCGCGGCATGCGGGAGCACTGGCGCTGGGCGCCGTCGGACCGCAACCACAGCGACGGGCCGAGCCGAGGTTTTCCGATTGGGCAGGCCCCGAAGGAGCGGAGGACGGACGAGCTGGCGTTGCCGGAGAAGGTGGCTTCGAGGATCGAGGCCCTGGCGGACTTGGCGGAGGTGGACCCAGCCCAGCGATCCCGGTGAAGGTGCTGCGCTTCGTCCACCTCTGCAGCGGCCACACGCGCATCGGGGACCTGGGGGACTGGCTGCTCAGGATCGCGGGCTCGCGGGGCTACCTGATGATCTGCACCGACGCGGACATCGGCTTCGAGGCGGAGTTCGACCTGACGGACGAGGTCAACGCGCGGAGGCTGGAGCTGCTGGCAGAAGTGGAGACGGACGGCGGACACTCAGGCCCTTCATGCTCTACTTGGTCGCGGGTTCGCCTCCAGCCTGGAGGCCCTCCCCCGCTACGTCTGCGACATCAGCTGCGGGGTCGGCCGGGTCTGCGAGGGGGCGACGCGAAGAAGGTGAAGCTTGGGAACGCGCAGTTGCTGAGCAGTTCGAGGATCCTGAAGTCGATCGGGCTCAAGGGCGGCTCAGTATCCGTCGAGCATCCTGCCGATCCGGGTTGCCCGCCGTTTCCTTCGATCTTCGTGACCAAGGAGCTGATGGACTGGGAGGCACACTTGGGTGCCTACCGAGCGACCTCCCCGCAGTGCATGCGGGGCTGCCCCGCGCTGAAATTGACGACGCCCACGGGGGCGGCCTTCGGGGTGCAGCGGTTTGTTCGCCCCTGCGCGCACGAAAACCACTCGGCGAGCCTCTGCGGCGAGGACGAGAGCGGTCGCTTTCGGACAAGGGCGGCCCAGGCGTACTCTTTCCACTTCTGCAGGACGCTGGCGGAGTGCCACGTGGACGCGACGCTGACCATGCAGGAGAGACGGGAGGCCGACCTGACCGAGAGGGCCGCGGAGCAGTTGATCTCAGATACCATGGAGCGCAGGCGCCGGGACGCTACGTTGCTGGAGTCACTACCTGCAGGTTACCTGCAGCCTTCCTTCGAGCCTCGGGCTGACTGGGGACGGAAGCCCATGCGCGATGGGCCGGCCTCCGCCCACGCCCGACTATGTTCGAGCGCAAGCGGTGCAAGATTACGCAGACATGATGCAAGATCTACGGGATTGGGCGCAGCAGTGGTACAGCGACCTCACGCAGCGGGCCACCGATGGTACTGAGTGGCAGGAGTGGCGCGTGGCCTTCATGACGGATGTACTTCTGAGCGGCCCCAACCAGGCCCTGAGGCGCCCACTCGTCAGCGGGCCCCCTCGCCACACGATCACCGACATCATCAGAGTTCTTTGCAGCAGCGCCTGGAGGCAGACGCAAGATCAAAGGGATCGCTTCGTCGCGAGCTTTCGAGAGGCGACCCCGACGGAGAGACAGCGGCTACAGCAGGAACACTGGACGGAGCTGGAGGATCTTCGTGCGATGATTCGGGTTCGAATTGGCGACCAGGCGCCTGACCATCGACGATCGCCACCTCCCGGGGAACCCGACTCGAGTGATGAGCAGCCATCGGCCGGGACCGCGTGCCGGTCCAGTTGCCCGCGGTGGCCCGCGCTCCTGGGTTGGCTGCTGCTACCTTTTCTATCGGACGCCGTCGGCGAAGAGAGGCTTCGGCACCACGCTCAGCACCGCAAGATGGGCAACACCCACCGCAGGAACGACGCGGAGGGCGCGCACCCACAGCGGGCGCAACGGCGGGAGAGAGCCACCCATGGGCTGGCCCTGCTGCCGTTCTCGGTCTCCACCAAGACGGCGCTGGGCTGCTACGTGCCCAACGTGCGCCGCTTCCTTGACTTCGCGCTGGAGGTGAACCTGCCGATGAGGAGCCGAGAGGAGATCGACGACTCCGTCCTTTGTTACTTGGACCGCCTGGTCGAGGACAAGGAGGTGGGCCCGCATCGAGGAGATTTCGCTGCGCATGGGCTTGCCTACGTGTGGCCCGAGCTCTCGACGGGGCTGCCGAGGTCCAACCGAGCTCTTCGAGCCTGCCATCGACTGCACGTTGCAGGAGAAGGGGGGGCCCAGCCTCTCGAACTCTGGGCCGTGCTGGACGAGGCCGCGAGGTTGGCCGGGGGCGTGGAGGCCGCTGACGCCGCCGAGGTCGCCCTGGACGCCCACCTTAAATCCGCGGAGCTGTTCGCCCTGCAGGCGGCCGACATCGCGGTCGACGCGGACGAGGCGGGCGAGCAGATCGCTGCTCTACGACTCGGGGTGACCGAGCGTGGCGAGAGGACCAAGACGGGCGTGAGGCAGGGCGCGCTGATCGACCGCCGGCATGTGAGTGACATGCTCGCGCGCAGGAAGTCCGAGCGAGGCCCCTCGGACCGAGTCTTCAGCTGCTCGGTGGATGCCTACCGCTGGGCTCTGAGGCGAGCCTGCGATGACGTCGGTGTCGAGCGCTTCCCGCCACATGCTGCCAGGCACTCGGGGCCGAGTCATGACGCGGCGACGGACTACAGGACGGCGTGGGCCATCCAGCGGCGCGGGCGGTGGGCTTCAGAGAAGAGCGTGCTCAGGTACATGAAGACGCACGCCCTGGTGGCCGCCCGCGCTGCGCTCCCGCCAGACATCCTTGAGCGCGGGAGCCGACTAATTCAGAAGAAGAGTTGTCGCCCTGCAAAGGCTCGTGAGTGATTCATTTCGTGTTGTGAATGATCTACGGATTTTTTGGAGCCTTGCCGAGGCAATGAACGTGCGACGGCTGTACCCTCCCCAGCCCAGGCGCTGATGCCCTCCCACCCAGCCCAGCCAGCCCAGGCCCAAACCCTCCCACCCAGCCCAGGCGCCGCCGCAGCCAGGCGCTAATGCAAGCTATGCGGTGGTGTGGGACCTGACACGGGGTCTGCTTCAAATTTCAAAATTTTTGGCGGCGCAGACCCCGCCGTCACCCTCTGCCGCCGCTCTTGGCGGCATCGTGTCCACGGTTCAGGCAGAAAATAGAAAGTTCAGTTTAGGCTGGCGCCACCTTCCGCCGCCCCCCGCTTGGAGAGAGACAGTGACCCGTGCCTCTAAATAGCTCTTCTGTGCCGCTCGAAGCTCTCTTCAGCCCATTTTGGAAGCCTCTTTGGGGGCTCTGGGGCCGTCTGGGGCCCATTTTGGTAACCTATTGGGCCGTCGCGACCGCTGGTAGAACTAAAAAGCGAAGCTCCCAGTCGTGGGGGGGTCATTTTGGGCCTTTGGTGGCCCGTCTGGGAGCCCATTTCGGCTGTCCCAAGCCCCTCTTGGCGTGTCATGGGTAGCTGAGCCGTCTCGGGGCCCTCATGGAGCCCTCTCCTACCATGTAGGGATCCTCCGGTGGCTCCCTCGGGCCCCCATGGGGACTCTCTCGGGCTGTTTGTGCTGCTCGACGCTCTTGAGGCTGTCTTGGAACCCTCTTGGGGGCCTCGTGGACCGTGTGGCGCCGATTTGGGGAGTCTTTGGGGCCGACGTGGCCGCCGATGGAACATAAGAAGCGAATGTCATAGAAATGTACGCTTTTATGGGATATGTTCGTTTTTTGCACCCGGGAGCCTTCTCAGCTGCCTCCTGGACCGTCTTCAGGGAGTCCTGGGAAGCCGGATATCATGTTCCCAGAAAGGTTTTCGGGAACATGATTTCGAACGAGGCCCTCTTGGGCCTCCCTGAGGCCGTCTTGGGGGCCTCCTGGGGCCTCTTGGGCCGTCTTGGGGGGTTCCGTGAGCCCCACAGGACGACCCTCTTGGGCCTTCTTGGGCCCTTGGGTTTCTCTTGGGTTGTCTTGGGGCTCCTCGGGGGCGTCTGGGGCACTGCGAAGACGAAGCAAGCGAGCATGCTGATAGTGTACGTTTTACGCAAGTAATGGGCCGATGCTTGCCTCGCGAAGGCCTTCTAGGGGCCCTCTTCGGCCATCTTCAAGCAATCTCGGGCCCTCTTGGGGCGTTCTTGGGCGTCTTGGGGCCCTCTTGGGCCTCGCTGAGGCTGTCTTGTGGGCCTCTTGGGCTGTCTCTGGGGCCGAGGAAGCAACGAACGGGAGCCCTTGTCGTCGCGGCTTGGCCCACACCAAATTGAGCGCCACTCTTGATTTCGGGGGCCTCTCTGGCGAGGGCCTCTGCGAATACATCTTGAGAAAGTATCGAACGAAAGCCCTTGTCGTCGCATTTGGGCCTCCACCAATTTGACTGAATCAGGAGGAACTCTCGAGCAAGAGCGGCGTTCCTGATTTCAGGGACCTTCCTGGCCAGGGGCTCTCGGGGTAAATCGTGAGGAAGTATCGAGCAGGAGCCCTTGTCGTCGTGGCTGGGCCCTGCCAACTTGACTGAATTGCGAGGAAATCCCGAGAAAGAGCGCAGTTCCTGAGTTCGGGGGCCTCTCTGGCCAGGGTGTCTCGAGGAAAATTGTGAGGAAGTATCGAGCGGGAGCCGTTGCTGTCGTAGTTGGGCCTCCAAGGGCGCACTTTTGGGGTCAAGCCAACGCTCGAGCGGGAGCCTCGTTTTCAAAGAAAATGTAGCTGGCGTCGAGGCGAGAGCGCCCGGAACCATTTCCCGGAATCAACAATAAGTATTCTCTAGAAATGAATACTAAGCGACAGCAACAACAACAACAATCACTTTACCCGAACGCTCAGTGTTCTCACCAGTGCCAGGGTTTTCATGCGACGCCAGCCAATACCCCCACTTTGTGGGGGGGCAGTGCAAGCTCTACCAAATATCCAAACGACTCTTCGCCACCACCCACACCCAGCTTCCCGCCCTATGACGTTCGGACACTTCACTTCGTGGCCTGCGGACGACCGTGGCTACTACACTGGCGTGGAGTACACACCCACAGAAGTTGTTAAGCCTACGTTCGTACACCCACAGAAGTTGTTAAGCCTTGTTAACCCACAGAAGTTGTTAAGCCTTCCACAGAACATCTGTTGCATATGATGCATATGGTACATGATACACATGATACACATGATACGTACTCACAAGATAGTTGATCACATCTTTAGGGCAAATTCCTGAGGGATGTGGGAATACACAAGAGAGATGTGCGATTCGTGTGATTTTATGATGCGCGGTGCTAAAATTCTTAAGAAGCCCAATGGTTTTTGGAGATTTCGGCGTGCGCGCGCGAAGAAAAAACGAATGTGTCCCGCATGGTATTATTTGACAGGGATGATGGCCCTGGCAGGTGCGCAACCGTTGTCGCAGAAGTTCGAAAAAGTTGCTCGCAAAAGCCCGTTTGACAGAAATGTTTAAAAAGTGTTGGGTTTCCTACGAATCCGCAAGAGCGCGCGGGATGAGATTTTGACAATTTTTTGTTGAAAAACCATTGGTTTTTTGATGTTTTTATGTTAAAATCGCTCGAACACTTTTGGAAGGATTTCGAATGGCATTTCGTCTTGCGCGCGCGAATGTCCACTTTACCTTATTTTTTGCAAGGGATTCTTGAAATTTGATTATATTAGAACAAGAAATGTCATTTTCTATTGTTTTTTGCAAGGGAAAGCGGACTACAACAAAACAACCGGATCCTGTACACACCCTCTTTTCTGAGGCTTCCTCACGAAAATGATGAAAATGTAGCTGCGGCCTAGGCGGCGCAGGGGGGGCGCGCACCAGGGGGCCCAACAATAATTATTCTTTAGAATAAATAATGTTCAACAACAACAACAACAACAACAACAACAACAACAACAACAATCATTTTACCCGAACGCGTGGTGTTCTCCCCAGTGCCAGGGTTTTCATACGACACCAGGCAATACCCCCACTTCGTGGGGGGGCATTACAAGCTCTACCAAATATCCAAACGACTCTTCGCGACCACCCAAACCCAGCTTCCCGCCCTATGACGTTGGGACACTTCACTTCGTGGCGTGCGGACGACCGTGGCTACTACACTGGCGTGGGGTACACACCCACAGAACTTGGTCACTTATTCGGGGCGGTGTATGTCCCGCAAAAAAACGAATGTGTCCCGCATGGTATTATTTGACAGGGATGATGGCCCTGGCAGGTGCGCAACCGTTGTCGCAGAAGTTCGAAAAAGTTGCTCGCAAAAGCCCGTTTGACAGAAATGTTTAAAAAGTGTTGGGTTTCCTACGAATCCGCAAGAGCGCGCGGGATGAGATTTTGACATTTTTTTGTTGAAAAACCATTGGTTTTTTGATGTTTTTATGTTAAAATCGCTCCGAACACTAAGCTTTTGGAAGGATTTCGTCTTG